CTAACACCACTTTCGAGGCTCGAGTATTCTACAATACAGAGGTACAGCTAAACGCCAAGTTACGTGAAAGCTGTTCGGTACAGGTCGCCGTCATCACAACGTTTCAGGCCGGCAACCTCCCGTGCTGCGCAGTAATGATCTCGAAATTCGACCCACGGGATGTCTGTTCTGCTGCTCGTCGAATCTCATCTTTCGGTGCATGGTAAAAACTCCCAACCAATTCCCCCCCGCCCAACCCCTATAAAGGATGTTACCGGAGAGCGACAACGCCATCTTCGGCCGATCTGACAACCCTTGGAACTTGGGGCGCACACCCGGGGGGAGCAGCGGCGGGGAGGGAAGCCTCGTGGCGTCTCGAAGCACCCCTTTGGCCCTAGGGAGCGACGTCGGCGGCTCGATCCGCATCCCGTGTCACTTCACGGGGACTTGCGGCCTCAAGCCGACGCCGGAGAGGATGAGCAGGAAAGGGATGGAAAGCTTGAGCGAGGTGCCGTAACGTACCCCCACAGGCAGTGGTAGAAAGTGCTGCTGTTATTTTTTTGGGTTTCGTATCCTATTTGGGTACGGATCTCTTGTTGATGTGGCTGACTTGCCAGCCGGGAGCATTTTGCTAGTACCAAGGTAGCGTGAAGAAGTCGATGTCATGTCCGACGTGTCTTCTTGCCCGCGCGGAAAGGGGCTGAACTGTGCATATGTCTGCCATGCAGGTGAGGAGATTGGCGAACACCGTCGAGTTAAAAAAGATGAAAAACCCCAAGAGATTCCGCTGGGTTAATCCAGTGGCATTTTTGTGTGTGCGTGTCATGATACGGGCGCCGCAGTCTTCAGTGCCGGGCTTGTGTGTGTGTTTGTTTGTTGTCACGGTGTATTTTCTCGTGAGGGCAACTGCGGCATGAAGCCAGCCGACGACGGGAAGCCAGAATCAGAGCAGAAGGATGCAGGAGCGCGTTGTGTATCGGTTGGAGGATTTCCGTTTTCTCGCAATGCTGATTTCTGCTGTGCCGATGAGAGTTACACGGCACAGAGGTTACGATTTGCCGTTCCTGTTCTTGTTGGTGTTGATTTCACCTTCCCCGTCAATCCAGAAACCCAGTTCTGATCTCCAATCATTTATTTGTAACCACACCACGGACCCACCCGGAGAGTTGAACAACGACCTTCCGCCTGGCGTGCGATGTGCGTGCAGGACAAAAAGGTTGGCCAACGAATCATCCTCCCGACACCGGGACCTATAGCCAACTGCGTCGACGATCTGGAACTGGCCATGACGGCGCTCTGCTCCGCGGAGATGTGGGACGGCGATAAGCGTATTCCCCGGCTGCCGTGGGATAGGACTGTGGCGATCGACGGCCCGGGTCGCCCGTTGAAGGTGAAAGGTGGTGCTGCGGTGTCTCGATGTCTCACGGCCAGTGTTTCTCCCTCTCTTCCTTGCCTTGGCAGCCCCCCTCTGCCCTTGTTCCGGAGTGGTTCTGATTTTTTGGCTGTTGCTTGCGCCCCGTGTCGTGTACCGCGGGGTTTCCGGTCGCTCCCGTTTAACATGTGAACCATGGTAAAATATGTTCTCCCTCATGTTCTTGCGATAGCTGTTCCGTTTACGGAGCTATTTGGGAACTATTCTAAGCAGCAGCCGATAGATGACGTGGTGACGTCGGTTGGACGTAGGAAATTTACTTATGCATACGGAAGGCTCACACGCAACGGATTTTCGGCCGCTAGAACCCTTGCCGACTTAAGTTTAGTGGCCCCTTTGAGAGACGGGGCTGTCACCCATCTTCTTCTTGATTGTCTACTATTTTTGCGGTGCAGCACAGCACAAATTGCATTTTTTTCGTGCGCGCGTTGCACCGCCTCTCCATCGGTTCTGGCAGGTCGGCTTCTTTACGACTGACCATTGGTTCGAGCCTTCCGCGGCGATTTCGCGGGCCGTTCACGAAGCGGCGGAGGGACTTCGCGCCGCCGGGCACGAGGTGGTGCCCTTTGAGCCCCCTGTTTCGGGTTGGCAGGTGGGGTTGTTTGTAAGGAAAACAGCCTCCTTGCATCTGCAAAAAACAGTGTTGTTGTCTTTATGTATGTTTTGGCTGTCGTATTTGAGTTGTTTGTTGTTCTTGTTGTTTGCGTTTGCGTTTATGTTCACAACGTAAACCGTTCCGGCTCTGCTCATTACCTGGCGAAAGCGTGGAAATGCCTCAAGGGTATCAGTCGGGGCTTTGCATGGCCCAAAGAGGGTTCGTGGCCTATTGCCAAACGACTCAGGCCAGCAAAAAATGAGCACGGCCTCATCCCTTCTACAAGTCTCACCCGGTCAGCCAAACCCCAACATGATTCGTTCGACCCGGGGTGCCCCGCACGTCGTTGTTATGTCATTCACTGCAGATTGCGAAGCTGTACTACGGCCAGATGGGCGCCGAGGGAAACATGAAGCGCTTCGTCGACTCGATACAAGGGGAGAGGATGCTGCCGAGCTACGCGGCCCTGCGCCAGCTGGCGGGCTTCCCTAACTGCTTGCGGCCCGCCCTGTCGTGGGTGCTGCGGAACGTGCTGGGGGACGAGAGGAGGGCCTCCATTGTAGGGTAAGAGGGGTCGGACGAGAGGTTGGATTGCACTGGTGCGGATGAGAACGCCGCCTGGTTTGGTGGCTTCGGTGGCCTCGTTTCTTGCGACAATAGTCAGGCGGACGGGGGAGCCGTCCACAGCTGACGGCACCTGAAACTGGTTATGCTGCTATCCTTTTTGTGGAGGCAAACACTGAGCATTTGGACGTGGGCAGGAGGGTCTGATTTTGCGTACTCTTGCAGTGTCAGTCTGCCGTGCGGCAGCAGAGGAAAGGTCACCGTCTATGTGATGATGTGAGTGTCTCTCTCTACTATTTTCATCGACCGCGATAACCGGCTGACCTATGTGTGAACGCGTTTTTGTGTTTTGGGTTCTGTTTACGTGCGTTTAGAGGGGGAGGCGCCACCAACGTTTCTGGAAGTTGTACCGCTGCCCCGAGGAGGAAGGATGGGAATTGTTTGCCTCCAATGGTGTCACGATTAATTTGCGCCGTATCATTTTTATTTCTTGCAATCTTGTCTGCGGCGACAGGATCACGAGAAACAAGGGGCTGAGCGTCAGGCAGTACTACGAGCTCGTGGCAGACACCTACGACCTTCGCTCCAAGTGGGAAGATGCGGTAACCGACGCGGGACTTGATGCGGTACGTTGTCCCGGGCGAGGTGAAGGTTTGATATGGTTTGAGGCCACGCCCTCGATTGTTGTTCATGTTAACCTCATATTTCCGCCTGTTGTTCCTGGTTTCCCTTGAACCCGTTGATATTGAACCCTGATCAGTTGTGATTGAATTGCGATGATGCAGAACCCCACCCGTACCGAAGATCTTCGTTTTCGTGCTGCGAGGCTCCCTTCTATCGCGAAAAACCTACAACAGCGACTGAATCGTTCAAGCTACTTATTTAGTATCGGAGGCAATGACCGTACGAAAAACATGTGGTTTCGGTCTAGCTTTCCGAGTGTGATGGCCCGCTCTGCGCCTGGGCGACCTTTGCCTGATCCGTGAAGGTCATCTTCCCGCCGGTCGCCCTGCCGGCGCTGCCCCATGGAGCGGCGAAGGACCTCACCCTCGCGTTCACCTACATGTTTGTCGCCAACCTTCTTCACTGGCCCGCCGGGGTGGTGCCGGTGACCCTTGTGAGGCCAGACGAACAGGTGAGATGCGTTCGAAGGGGCGAAGAGACTCCGGTCTACTGCAGTCCTCTCTCTCTCTCTCTCTCTCTCTCTCTCCCTCTCTCTGTCTCTCTGTCCTCCTGTCTCTGTAATCTGTCTCTGTTTCTCGTAGGATTCGCTTCGTGATGGTTCGCCATGGTTTCCTTTCATGAATGGGAGCGCACACTTCGGGGGCGGGTCGTTGCCGAACTAGTTGTCGTCTATGCCTTACGTTACAAACTATTCCGATCTCTGCTCGGTACCACACCGGTCCAAACGACGCGGACGCCTTCCATGGTCACAGGTGCAGTACAGGCGAGTACATCAAATCAGGAGAAATAGACTTGTCATTCTGATTATGCGTTGAAACCAATTTGTGGTATTTGCGCTGACTTGTGCACCAATTGTTTTGATTGGCCAAGCTGCGACGGTTTCAGCCGGAAAGAACGTCCTCTTAGCTCCTTTTTGCGTTTTCGCCTCGCCGCGACCCACCAGGACTATGACGTGAAACGTTTGCCCGTGAACCAGCGCGATGGAACCGCCCGGCTCGCCAGAGAGGCGATGCGTGGCTCAGCAGGGCTGCCTGTAGGAGTGCAGGTAAGCTGAGGGGATGATAGTGTTGGTGTCGGTCATCGTTGACTGCGTACTTGAAGCCCTCTCTCAGTTTCATTCGCATTTTCCTTCAAGTCCCTTTCAGAAGACTGCCGACTTATCGTACGATGAGGGCCGCCCTCGCTGGGGCACCGCTGAATCTTCCTCCGTGTGGTATGGGAGAGGAGACGCCGTTGATCGTTGACACCAAGCTTTTGAGGTCCCGGAGCAGGCGTCGATCCTCCTTGCTTCTAATACTTTATTCTATTCGCGGGTATAGCGTTACTCCGGTAGACAGCCCCAGGTGCTATGCTCTACCTATTCCTTCCCCACACCCACACCCAAATGATGTTGCTTCCACGCTTATTTGATCGCTGCAGGTAATGACGATGCCCTTCCAGGAGGAGCTCGCGCTGCACGCCATGCGAGAGGTAGAGAAGGCCGTGAATTTTGTCGCCGTACCGGCTGTGTCGGGACTGTGAACGCCCCAATGTTTGAGGTAGCCGAAAATTCCCGCTGCGTTTCGGTCTGTTGACGTGTTTCTTTTTTTTTCTCCCATCATTGGACTCTGTGGTCTGCTGTCGTCTGCCCCTCTGGCCCCTATCCTCCACTTCTACCAGCTAGACGACCCAACCGGGGTCACAGGACGGGGGGGTTGGACCCCCTCCTGCGGTTCCATGTATGTACAGTGATGGTGCCGTTATGAGAGGGTAGTGTGACAAGGGCCCTCGACCCTCGTATATCGCAACCCCCTCTTGTATCGGGGCCCTCTACAGTGGGTTAACCTTTTATTTGGGGTAAAATCAGGAATAACGAGAAACAAGGGTAGCTGGGTGCCGTACATTTTTGCGTGTGTGGTGGGCCGCATATGCACATATGGTGAAGTGGTAGCCCAGTGCAATCGTCGCCGTCGTCGTTGTCAGGTAGCTCTAGCTCGCTGTTAGAAGGGTTGGCTTCCTGACAGCACACAAATTTACCGCATCATATTCGTAAAGCCGGCCGCCACAACCTGCGACACATATCCATCGGGAGGCTCAGTCGTGACGTCTGGGGTACGACACATTTTTCCAGCTGTCCAGTGTGTATGCTGCTGCCGGTTTGGTTTGAGCCGCATTTTGTGTGTTTGTGCGTGTGTGAAGGCGCCGAGGAAGCCACACAGATTAACAATCCTGAAACTTTACATTGGGGTTAGCCCACTACAAGTGGGCTTGTCTCTCTATGAAGGTAACCCTCATATTGCGGGTCGAGCCCGTGACAACCGATCTCGACCTCCTAAAAGCGGAACCACGACTCTAGCTTCACGCGCCTTGAGGTTTGTCGCTATGCCGAGTGCGGTGATATTGTGGTTGGTCAAGAGCGCAGCGACAAACCGCGGTGCCACGGGCATACGGCGGTGCCGCGGGCAACCGCGTGTGGTTTCTCATCACATTGCCGTAGCAAACCAGCAGTTGCTTCTTGTGTGGCATTTTTGGAGAAGTTGAATCACCGCGCATTGCACTGGCCGTTTTATGGGACCAAGAGTGCTCCATCTGCCCTCGTTCCGCCCGCCTTTTGCAAGCTGACCAATTTGGTCGCGAAACTTGGCCTCCTGTAGCAACACAGAACTTCCCCGATAGCAAGTGGCGGCGAGGGCGGGGTCAGCCGTAGCAACACGCCAACGCGAACGCACAGAGCGGTAACGCTTTGTATGGCGAAGTTACCCGAAGGCGGCACTTCAGGTGGAGTGGATGGGAAACGGGGTCGTGAGATTGATGCGGCAGTTGAGCAGCCGGCGGCAGTTGTTACGGCGACACTTGTTTACGTACACACTACCACCTGCCACCTCCTTTGTAACACCACGACATCCACCCGCCCCACGAAATCTTGCATGTGCCTTGAAACATTTCCTTCATGCAAGAGAAGCTTCACATGGCGCGCACTTCCCAGCTGCCCATCATTCTCCTTCTGCTTTACTGGCATGTGGGCACGACCGTTGCAATCGGTAACAGGACCCCGCCGTTTCACGACGGTGGTACTTTGTTGCTTCGCGATGCACAGGGGGCTGCGTTGGCCCACGCCCGACATTGATGTTTACAGTGTGTAAACCGGACGTACTTTTGAATCACATAAAATGCTTGCACTACCCTCGTTCATGTAGAAACCCCATAAACGTTGTACAAGCCCAGGCATGCTAAACATTCTCCTCGATGACGGTGGCATCGCATTTGATGGCCACACTCACTACATGTATGTACGTTTTGTACGACATACATATCATGACTCTACCAGTGTCGCCCGTGAGGGCGGGATCCAAGCACAAGAGCCTCACCTAAATCCTAAAATTTACAAGCTGATCTTCCCAGAGTCCAGCAACAACAAATACACCTGTTGCAGCCCTCTACATTCTTAGTAGTTCACGGCGTCACGGATAGCGTCGAGGACCTTGAACCGGCCGGGCACATAGAACTTCTCGAACACGAGGGGGAAGGGGGTGTCGTACCCGCACACCCGTTGCACCGGTGCTTCCAGGTGTAGAAAACATCGCTCCTGCATCACGGGGCGCGGGTGGGTTTGGAGGCCCCACAGCACAGATGAGGGTAGAACGCGAGCAGCGTATGCATCCGTGCTCGGGTCACGAAGTCAACGGTAGTCCGCCGCCGTGGTTGTGCCATTGTGTGTACCCGGGTACCACTGTAGGTAGTTGTACACCGCGTGGTCGAGCGACAAACATTGTCAAAAGGCCAAAGCAGCGCTCAAGTATGGATACTGCAACACCGTTCAGTGTTGCGATTTAGTACCACTGGTAAAACGCGACAAGAGGGGGGCACGACAGCACGAAAACCTCGCGGTGCGCGAGAAAAACATTAGCTGTAGAGGCTCGCGCCCACCTGCATATCCGCGGCAACTTCGGCCGCAAAGCCCCCGGTCCTTGGCGCCTCGTGGGATACCACTAGCCTCCCCGTCTTCTTGACCGAACGGCTCACCGTGTCGAAGTCCCACGGAAGAATCGTGCTGTTCGTAGTTGTTGTGTGGTGGGGGTGAGCGAGGGAACGAACGGGAAAAGGGACGGACGAGAGAGAGGGAGAACGAGAGAAGGAAACGCCTCAGAAGGGGACACGTCTCCAGCCATCAGAGATACCCGATGTCGCAGGGGTCACCTTAGGTTGCATAAGATATCGCGAAACGCTCGGACATTTTTCAAAGCTCGGTTACTCCACTTTGAAGCGGATGCCACAATAAAATGCCACATTTTCGGGAAGCTCTCGACGAGACGGTTGGACCGGCGCAATCGTGACGGTTTCTGCAGCAGAGAACTCGAGCTTCGAAAATCAATACGGGGGTCGTGATACCCAATGCAACCTACGGTAGTAGCGCAAAACACGCCGGGTGTTGCCCGCTGACGAGATTTTCGGAAGGAGGGAGGGCCTTCTCTCCCGATCGGATCGGTCGAGGCCACGAAGAACGGGATTGGCGTACCGGAGGTCGATTAGCTCGCAGCTGATGCCCTCCTTCTCCGCGTCTTCGCACGCTTGGGACATCACTCGTAGCTGGGCCCCCCATCCGACCTGGCCATCATCGAAGCGGTAGAGATAGAGAGCGAGAGGAAGATAGAGAGAGAAACAGGCAAGGAAGCAGGCAAACAGACAGGCAGATAGAACGGCGCAGAAAGTCAGATAGCAGTACGAGACACGCACACAGAAGGGCAGAAAGACAGTGAAACAAACACCATGCCTGACGTGCAGCAAACCGCAAGTTGGTGCTCAGTGACAATTGTTTTTGCAGAAGTTGGTATTTGGGCAAAAGCGGTTGAGTGCAGAGCTTGAGATCCGCCATGCGCTCCGAACAGAATATCTTGGACCGCTTGGTGTCAACAAACGCCCACGAGGACCACTTTCTAACTTCGGGCGACTGCCACAGCTCGGGTAGCCGGATCGAATGTGTGCTACATGAAGTGCGGTATTCAAGGAACGTGTGGAAATCGTTCCAACTCCTTGGATGTGTTCCAAAGCGAAAGGAAGTAACCCCGTATGACTCGGCAATCTTCGCGATAACGAGCTTCCACGATCACCATCGTGCCGAAAGTGTGCCATGAAATCCTCCAACCCCGTAGACACGCCAACCACCACTCGGTACCAAGCGAAACTGATTCCGGAACAACAAACGCCAGCCCACAGCCGCGACTCTATGCCTGACTTTGCGTCTATTTATATATATGCACATCGTTGTACATGTACCTGTCTTGCTGTGGCGCTCTTCCATTGTCTGTAGATTTTCCTCTCTGTGTCCGCATCTGTATGTCTGTTTTTATCTCTTCATCTCCCTCCCTCTTGTAACTAGCTCTGCTATATGTTGCCGTCTCTTTTTCTACCCGCCTCTGCGCCCCTCCCGCTTCCGCGCTGACACCCAGAACGCCCCTCTCACCAAGGTCACGTCGGTCCCCTCCCTCATCACGTCCGCCACCCCTAGTGGCACCTCGTAGTCGCCGTCAGGCACGTCCTCGACGCTGGTGCGGTAGAGGATCTTCGGCTCGAAGAATATTACCGGATCCGGCTCCCTCACCGAGGCCAGCAGCAAGCCCTTCGCCTCCGTCGCGTTTCTGGGCATAACCACCTAACCACGAAAACACCGATTAGCCAGAATATCAGATTGCCAAATAGAAGCAAATCTGGGCATAGCCACCAAACCACAACAACACCCAGGGCAAAATGCATATAAAACGAACCAAACGGCAAGACAAGACGAAGCGGATGAACATGACTGCGGTCCCAGCTCTACAGACCCACGGCTTTTCTTGATATTGCCACCGCCAAAATCCGGGAAATTTTGCTCGCAGGCAGGAGTATTCCCGCAACTACATTCTGAATGGGGCGTTCAGTGACCTCGCAGGACCATCTTGCTTCGCAACCATTCACGCATACACGCTTGCAACCACACAAGCGTCACTAAGAACGTTGGGGAAGACGTGGGGGAAAACGTGCCGATGCCCATTAACAACGTGGCTCGCCACTCGTACCTTGAGTCCCGGCGTGTGCGCGAAATAGCTCTCAGGAGATTGCGAGTGGTAGTGCCCTCCGTGGCCCACGGCACCGCACGGGGCACGGATGGTGAGCCCTCCGCAGTTGAACTGGTTGCCCGAGCGGTACCGAAACTTGGCAGCTTCGTTTACAATCTGGACGAGAATCGCAACAAATGTACGCGGGGGGCGGTGAGAGACGGGAAGCATTTCGTGGGAGAAAAATCTACAATTGTAATGAGCTGATACAGACCACAGCACGGATACTCTCCAACCCCGAAATATCCCTTCGAGATCATAAAAGCGCATCGAGGACATCGAGAATAGACAGGTGACAACCGACTTCGCGCAAGGCAAGATGGGCTCATTCGCACGCCATACTCGTCGGTGCTGTTTTCAACTCTCACCTGATCAAAGGCCGGAAAAATGTAGTCTGCGAACTGCACAAAGCCAGCGAGAGCGTGGAAACAAAACACGGAGAGAGGGATGAGGCGCGGTGGTGTGATGTCTACCTTTGCGGTGGGGTGTGAGGGGGGGTGGGGTGGGGGGTGTACTCATAGTCGTGCATGCCGTAGTCGTTAGACCATTCACCTCGCATCCCTACAAAGCCGGGACGGAGTACGCCGGGTTCTCACCGGACCAGGCTCTCACATCACCAAGCGCGAAGCGCCGTGAGATATTCGGCGAGTCGCATGAAGGGTGCGCTGCATCCTGCTAAGGGTTTTCGGCATCTTGTGCTTACTTCCTTGTGTACGGATGACAGCTGCGTATGACTTAATATACTTTCTGAGGCGTTCACTTCCAGAGACCGTTGTAAGCACTGTGTAACTGCCTGGAGAGTGCTTGACCATTTTAACACAACGTGGTGCGATCATCCCCCTTGCGCGGAGTGAGGGTTCTCCACCCCGCACAACATGATCTACTCGACCACCATTATGGTTACCGCCAAAAAAAAAAACGGAGGTAAAAAAAAAAACGGTAACCTGGTTGCCGAGTTCACGAAGTGAATTGGCTTGTTTTACAACGTCGTTGCCAAGCGACGAAAACCCAACCCCGATGGCAAACACCAGGGGGGGGGACAGTGCGGCGTGAGGGGGGAGAAAAAAAGGATGTATTGTATGTCAGTGGCGTTTACGGGAGATGGTATGCGGCAGCAGGCGCCACATGTACCATGAACGCAAACCGACGGGGCGTTTAAAACACTATTGCTATCGCGTGTCAAAGCACAAATCGTACAAACGGAGGGCGGAGATCGAATTTCGCCGCTTGAAAACGTATGCTTCGTGCGGTCAACGTCTTTCCCCCCCAGACATGTCAAAATGAACAACAGCTTCGCGAGTACTTCATGTTTACCACTGTCCATGCACCTCGCGTGCAGCACGAGCAACAGAAAACCGCGCTTGCACTGCACCGGGGACAAAACACTTGTTAACAGATGCCCGAGCGTTCGTTTTTGGACGGCGTGCGGCAATCAAGGTGCACCTGAATCTCGGCGATAGCAGTCTTGCCCATCGAGGCGTATCCGATCGCAAACCCCGCGATGCCCTGTTCGCAGAGGGTGCTGTCGAACACGCGGTCAGGCCCGAACTGCTCCTTGAGGCCGCCCGTGCAGCGGAACACGCCTCCGAAGGCCACGTCTTCTCCAAACACTATCTGGTAGCACGGGACAGATCGCCGCCCCCCATGAGGTTTTCCAACGACAGCCGAATAATCACTCCCACCAAAATCGCAAACTCTTTGGAAAGAACGCTCCGTTGTGACTCCACGACGTATAGAAACAATAAAATCTCACGTAAACAGGGTACTTTGTACGCTATACTTTGTTTTGGGTCAAACCCCAGGTGTGGCCATCGTCCGTTGGATACCTGCTTACCCACCTCTCCGTTGTCCTTTCAGCGACGCGTATCATATTCCACTGCCGTGCCGAACGCCACAGGCTAGAGGGTACGCTGTGATGACAAAACTACGTGTGTTACCTGCATGTTTCCGACATGCCTGTTTCTTTCCGAAATCTCCGTTTCTTTCCGACGTGCCCCCTGTGCTGGGCTAGCTCCCTTACCGCGGTTTCATCGGTCTCCATCGCCGTGCGAAGCCCAGCATTCACGGCCGTGAACAGGTTCATCCTAGTGCTAGGTCCTTCCGCGTACCTTGTTCCGCAGCCGGAGCCGGGGCCGGGGCCGGCGGCAGCTGGAGCTCCTTTCGTGCCTCGTGCCCCTGCCGCCACCGAATCATCATCCTCATCGATGTCGCTATCGATGACGCTCGAAGCTCTTCGATTCGGAAACCCCGTTGGATGAAGCGTTCGTGGCCGGGCCAGAGCGCCGCCGTTGCTTGCCGCGGTCCATCGCTGCCGCCGGGACTGGTGTGTGTGGCGGTGGTAGCCAACAGGGGCGATCGAGGGAACTTCTTTGTGCCAAACATGATTGACCCGATCAAACTATTCAGCTGGAATTATTTAACGTCTTCTGTTCTAAACCAGCATGTGTTGGATGAACAAGCAGAGACGGGCGAGAGGAAGCCGAACAACCGTGTTGAATTCGTTCGACTTTCTCATACTTTCTGAACTCTCCCTGCCACCAAGGGTTCCTTGATTGTCTCCCCGTCAAGCAACGAAAATTCTTCGGCCATACGACGCATTGGTTCGCGGAGGCTCGCTTCAATTTCGAAGAACGGTGCCCCGCACGTTGTCCTTCAGTAGTAATGGAGAGCACGCTTTGCTACGTGAGGATACTATCGTGCGGCCGAAGGTCCGCAATTGCGCCCAGAGATGAACTCGATCTACACACTCGTCACTTGTATTCCCCTACCTCCCGATTGCTGCGAAGCGGTCGAAGTAGCAAGCTGTCCGAGGCGCTTCTCATCCTTGACCCGGTGGTACTAGCGCTGGCGGTGCTGAGAACGGCATTCCTCAGACCGGCGGAGCCCGCTGCTAGGGATCGAGGGCACCTTAAAACACTGCGCGACATGGCCGTCGCCGTACTTGAATGACCAGTTGGGAGTCGCCTCTCTAGGAGGACTGAATTTCCTGATGCGACAGAGGCCCCCGGAAATTTACAAGCAGAGAGCACATCAGCTGCACCGAACAAGTCCATGCAAAGAAAATGAGACTCGAACAAGCACCAAAGCTACACTTTGCCGTATCAACGCCATTAACCAATGCCAGCTTGTATCTCGCGTGCACCTTCTGTGCATAGAGAATTGGAGTAGCATTATTCCGGCACCCCTTTTGCAGATCCAGGACAAGGACTTACACGTGACCTTTCTGGACACGCTCGAGATGTTTTCATTCTCCACGAAGAGAAACAGCAAGGTTAGAAATCGAGCAACGGAATCCAGCGAGTAACGAGTCGCCTCCCAAGCCTACGGACACCGAATAGAGTCAGTTAGTCCGATTTTTCTCTGTCTCCTTCAACTTTGAGGAAACAACAGCACTGCTGCAGCAGTCTGGGGAACCAATATCCTCACCAAGAAGATGAGGGAAAAGATGTTGCTTTGAAGATATCACCGTTGATTTGCTTTGGAGATAGAGTAAAAGGGAAAGAGGACGAAGGCGTCCCCGACTCTGCGATCTCTATGGGTTGCCGGGGCACCTCCCAGCGACGGAACTTTGAAGGTGGGTTGTCAACGCACACGACACACGGCTGATGACAACAAGATCGGACGAGAACCACCGCGTTTCGTGTGGCTATTTTAGGGTCCGCTACAAACCTGGCGTGTGCCAGCAGAACACATCGAGCCCATCTGATAACACAATTCCTCACGTGCTTCCGATCCCTCCTCCCGGTACGCTTGGTGATGCTAAGTCGCAAGCACGGCCGAGAGACGGTAGTAGAACATTTGACTGCCCATGTAATTACGCCGCGTTTTCGTCACTTGTTCCATGATTTTCGGGTAGTGATTCAACATGAAGTGATGCATCGCTCACAGGGAGCCAGACGCCACAGGAGGAGCCTAACAGGATCGCAAGGAAGGGTAAGTTCGCATGTAGGGGCTGTTCTTGCTTGTTGTGATCGTCCTCCGCGCTGAACGGCCCACGGCACTGCTGCGGTGGAGTTGTGCGATGACGACTTCGAGGTTTTTGAAACGGGACCACGGGAGACTCGCCGCGTGCTGCGCGCGTATGTAGCGTTGATTTGAAGCTAATTTCACGGACACGTCCTCTCATCCAGACTCAAGGCAGTCACCGTATTGGGACTACAACATCTCACCAAGCTCCTGTTACGTCCGCTACGCCCCCTGTTTGTTCCATTGGCAGTCTGTCGCGCCCGGTGTGCTCTCGCTTTGAAAAACTGAAACGTCAGGCGAAAAAAGATGATCCTCTCCAAAGGGAGGTCCGCCCTCCAAACATCAACCGCCACAGCATTGAGCAGACCAACGGCAAGAGGGATCTCGGCGAAGATCGTGCCCTCTTACTGCCACGGTCACACGGGCGAATCCTGCTGCTATTGCTCCGGTCCGCCGATCTCGAGAGCGCCCGCAGCATCGCCAACCTCAACACACGCCCCCGCCGCTGGATCACCTCGTCAAATATTCCACACCCGCAGCGGTCAGTTCAACCTGTCTGTAGCTGCTCCAGAGGTTGTTCGCGGTTTCGGCGGTGACGCGCCGCTGCTGCCTCGCGTTTCCGGATCTTCCGCGGGCGGTGCCCGCTTTAAGTCGACTGCTGCTGCTACGGTGGATGTCGATGTCGAGACTTCGAGAAATGTGGTTGTGGACGGCAACGGCGACGACGGCGGCGGTGACAGCAGCAGTGGATTGAAGCGCTTTCGACTCACGGGTGAGAGTGTGGTGTGTCGTTCGTGTGGCTCTATTTTTTCTTATGTTTGAAATGTTGAGTCCTAAAATGTACTGCTGGGGGAGATGTCTTGTGGTATTTGTATCTATACAGCGATTCTGTGATTAGCACATGCTGGCATCACTGATAAGAAATATTTCAGGGTAAAAGCTTGGATACTCCAAATAAGCCCGGTACCCAGCAGGTTTCCCTCGAATGGGTACAAACAAGCTGGTCTGACCAAGAAGCTAACTTTCGTTCTTTCACGTCCCACTCTGCTGCTTCTACGAATTTAGACTCCAAATTTGTCGGCTGCTCTTGTAAAACCATTGGGGAGGCGCAGGTGCCGGAATTGTTCGGATCTGAGATGATATAGGTAGATACTAGTAATTATCAATTGGCGGCAAAGTGGGGGATACATCCTGCACTGAAATCAGCTGAAAATGACTGTGCATGTACCTAGGAACATCGCGAGAGGATAGATGGTAGTTTCAAGGCCCACGGCATCTTCCATCAGAGGTTATGGCCTAGAAAAGAACCTGATACAACACACGATACCTGAGAGATGTGAGTATATCGCGATTCCCACACGGTTTTTTCGAGTTAGAACCTGCAATTTCGACACGGCATCCTCATGAGTACAACAAATAAACAAGCTACTGCGCCATTTGACTTTTTTTCTCTTTTTCTGCGACTTTTTCGCGTCGCAAATATTCCCATGAATACTAATACACATGAAAAGAATCTAATTGGCGCAGTGACTTTTGTTTTCATTGTACTCATGGAGATGCCGTGTCAAACTTTCAGGTTCTAATTCGAAAAAACCGCGTGGGAAATCCGCTCCAACCTTCAAATTTCTGGGCCGGACCAGCTTGTAGTCTTTCTGTGTTTGGACTTATGTTTCCTAATGTACTGCTGTAGTGATGGTTCATGGAATAATGGTCAAACTTCGGCAGGCTGTGGGTTCGATTCTCTCTGCAAAGGGTTTATCCCGGGGATGTGTGCTATTTCCACAAAGTAGACAGCGACTACAGGTCGTGAGTGTACACAATTCGGCTTCACGGTCGACGAGGGAAAGGGATGTTTGAACCATACTCGCCACAAGAACCAAGTCAAGCGCAGCAGGGGGAGAGGTGGGGCACTAACGCTCGAGGTGCTTCACGACGGCTCAATCCAATGCCGTTCTGCTACGACTAAACCCGGGACCAATGATTGATGAGGCCGTCCTCCCAAGTATGCAACCCAGTCTTTCGAAAGCATCCTCCTTCCTTTTTTGGCTCATACACCTCGCTCTCCCCTATCTCCCCCCCTTCGGTGTGTGGCCCGCATCCCACCCCGCTATAGACATCGGAGAGGGAATCTTGGAAGTGGAGGTGTTGCAATGGTTTGTTGCTCCCGGCGACAGCGTGAGCCAGTTCGACAAGCTGTGCGAGGTCCAGAGCGACAAGGTACGCGTGTGTCCCCTCCCTATTTAGCACACCGAGAGAAGTTCGACACGTGGTTTCAGCTGTGGTGCATTTGGCGCAGCACCCGCCTACTCGTGCGAGCGGATCAGGCGTGAGAATAAAGCATTATTGTAGGAAAACCAACTAAGGCAGTGCCTCCATCCACAGCATGAAGATCTACTTTTCTTTCCTTGCGCCCTGCTCCACATCAGTCCTCAGCTATCTCTGCATCTATCAATCAATCTATCTGCCGGGAGAACGGAAACGCCGCCTCTTGTTCTTGCCCCTAACCCCTGCCATCCCGCGGGAACATTCCTTCGCACCCTGGTCGACGCTCCGGGCAGGCGAACGTCGAAATAACCAGCCGATACGATGGTGTGGTGCGGAATGTTCACTGGAATGTTGGCGACATGGTTCAGGTGATTGTGATGTAATGCAAGGAGGGAAGCACAGCCGACTGGAAATCAGAACATACAAGATGCTTCCACCACCGAGCGTATCCCTTTCCGGGTGATGCCGCGTCCTTAGTCTCCGCGAAAACAGGACCACGTTCCTCGCAAGCCGCGGCGGAATGGCCTGGCGGTGGTGTTCCCTGTTCTTTCTGAGGACAGCGCTGCATCTCGCTGGACTGCTGCATATCTTCTGGCACACGTATATTTCGGAATTGAGTAAAGTGAAACCAAACGTCTGTTCTGCCCGACCCGCAGACGGGCGCTGTTCTAGTGGACATCGAGGAGCGAGCGGCTTTTTCCGCGGGGATTTCCACACCGAGGCAGCCGTACTTGTCGTCGGCTGAAAGTACGGGGGTGCCGCAGCTTTCGGTGCCGAGTTCGCAACACCCAGCAGTGGCGCCGCCGGCTCCTGCTGAAATGGTCACCCCGGAGAGCACCGGGGGGACGTCATTCGGAAATGGAGGAGGCGTTGGCGACCTTGAGGGAAGCGGGCCGGCGAGGAGACAGGTTGCGCGAGAGTGCACACAGCAAAGGAAAATGCTCCCTTGTTTTTCTTGTGTAGGACATGGTGTGGATTTTGTACGCGTGGCTGTGTGGGTTTTCTGGAGTGCCAGGCCGACCACTGTGGCTGGAAGTTTCAGCCTTCGCCGCCACCGTGTGCCACTTCCCACTCTCTGCGTCGCTAGGATCTGTGTGGGTGTTGCTACCAACAAAGCCATATTGCGTCTGACCGCCGTGGCTCGCTACATCAAGCGAAAGAGGTGTTTGCCTCGTCCATCGTTCGGCCAAGGCAAGCAGAAACACTCGTGACCCCCCTGATCGCTTGCTTCCGCCATTTTTTTTGGCAAGGTGTTGGCTACCCCGGCAGTCCGACGGCTGTGCCGTGAGATGTCCATCGACCTCGCGGTGGAACTAATCCCTGGAACAGGCCCAGGGGGACGCTTGCTGAAAGGCGACGTGCTCGCGCACGCCTCGGCGACGGCGAAAACCGCGGCGAGCGGAGGCCCCACCAACGGCGAGATGGGCACGGCGGCCCGGGAAACCAACCTGCAAGAGCAGCAGCAGCAGTGGCGGCGGCGGCGGCGGCGGCGGCGGCAGGGAGAGGGGGTAGAGGTGGCGTCAGAGACAGAAGAAGGGGGGCAGCAGCAGCGGTCACGACGTGAGGCAAAGGAGCCTTTCGCGGTGCCGATAAAAGGTGAAGCACAGTTTTGTTGGGGGGGGAGGTTGGGAACAACTCGTGCTCGTGTCGAGCAGCTTCTCGAAGTGCTCTTCGCCTAGCGCGGGGCAACATTGCGTCAAAACGGGTAATCATAACGGTTCTGGTCGGAAAGGCAGGGGAAAATACTTTCGCCACTTGACCGTGTTCGCCGATTTAGTTGTGGTTTTGGACCGGATAATCGATCCCTCTCGGAGAGGTATTTCGCGCCGCTGAGTGCGGTTCACACGTATCAACTCTCAAGTATCACGCGAGGGAATAAAGGTGGCGGGCCAGGGTATTGATACCGAAGTATATTTTTTGGTGGGTGGACGACTGTAAGGCCCGGAGACATGAACTGTATTTGTGGGGCCGTACCTAGGTGTTTTGTTTCGTTACCAACGTCAAGTACAGTTTCTTAGGGTTAAATGCAGGATCCCCGCCGGTGGTGTGTTCCTGAAGCCTATTTACTTGCATTTCATGATCGTTTGAGCTGTTTTCCTTTGCCCAGCGGGATTGGCCTTGAATGACTGCGGGCCCGCTCCGCTTTACTCCATGTTTACCGTCGTGCCGCAAATATCTTTATGTTTTCATCGCTCATTTTGCGGCGAATGACCCTTTCGACAGGAGTCCAGCGGGCGATGATGGAGGCGATGCGGAAGGCCCTCGAGGTGCCGCATATGACCTTCTGCGACGAGGTCAACGCGGACCGCCTGGGCAAGCTGAGGTCCGACCTTAAGGTGGCCGCCGAGCGGCGGGGTGCCAGGCTGAGCTACTTGCCTCTCATCGTCAAGGTGACAACGGCGCCTCGATCCTGGTTGGGCTGGGGGCTCCGTGTGAGGACTGGGCGGCATGTAGGGTGGTGGTGCTCGCTACTTGTAGGGTGGATACAAGAAGGTCCCGGACGCCCGCCCTGTGGCTGTCGGGCACCCAACCGACTATGAACGAGTTGTTTCTCATGAGAAAGAAGCGCCTCGGGTGAATACTCCTCCAGCTTTGTTTTCTTTCAGCAATCGTGAGTGTGGGCCCAAGGGTACTTGTCAGCGGAAGTAGGTGATTGTTCTATGAGCGGCACGGCACGTGCGGAAGTCGGGCATAAACGTAGCTTGTCTGTTGCCATGACAACGATCATCGGGGATCATTGACTCCCCCTTTGAACATGCTACGGTTGCTGTTGAACCTCCCATGGCAGGCCACGTCGATGGCTCTCACCGCCTTCCCTACTCTCAACGCCAGCCTGAGTGAAGACAACAAGTTCCTGCTGCAGCATCCAGGCCACAACATCGGGGTTGCGATGGACACGGAGAAGGGACTGCTTGTTCCTTGCATCGCCAACGTGGAGGAGATGAGCGTCCTCGACATCGCGGAGGTATTGTTGTTGCTGTTGTGGTGATGTTTTTAGGTTGTTGTTTTCGTCGTAACACAACACCGCTTCCGCTCTCTCCTCCAGTGGCAGGAAGGCTTGTGGGCCTATGTTAGTCCCCGTTCTCAAGCTGTTTAAAACTTCGGTTAACCCCCACGCGCCCGTTTCCCCATTGTGGCGGGCATGTTCGCACGTTCGACCCCCCTCTGCAGGAACTGAACACCCTCCAGAGACTCGGGGCCGCGGGAAAGCTGGGAGAGGAGGAACTTGCGGGAACGACTTTCACGTGAGGCCGAAGGACAGATACCTCCGAATTCCATAGATCTGCTTTTGCAGGGATTGTTTCGCCAAAGTGTGTCGTCTGCGGCAAGATATGTTTCGTGGTGGCCTTCCGTTGTACGTGTCTGTAAGTCGGCATGTTTGGATTAGCAAAACGGAAGGGAATTAATTCGGGTTCGTTCACTGCTTTTCCGCTGAGTGCGCCGATCTGCCCTAGTCTTGCCGCTTTGTCTATTAACCATTGACAATCGACATCCTTCGCATTTTCTTTATCCTGCGGCGGCACGGCAGACTGTCCAATATCGGGAGCATCGGCGGCACCTACGCATCACCCGTCATTCTCCACCCCCAGGTCGGTAACCCGACACTCTTAGCTTTCACACACTGAGCCTTGCCCCCTATGCCGTGGTTGTCAAACACAATGCGTAATTCTTGTCGAGATTTGATTCTTGAAGCTGAGAAGGCCTGGAGAGGAACAGTTTTAGGCACCGAAACATGCACGCTGGCGGGTGCCAGTACGTGCCTAGAACAAATCATGTGCTGAATTGGGAGCGCCTACAATGGATCGATGTAGGGTCCTCTGCCGTGATTGGAAGGCGGAAGGTTTTTCTTTACAATCCTATTGCACAGAGCATGAAACGCACATTGGGACGGTTTTCTCTGTTTGTCCGCCGGCTTCATACCCTGTCTCCCTCCCTAACGCTTCGTGTGTCATCGCTCGAGCAATGGGGCTGCGGATAGACATTTGTGATGACTTCGACCATCTTCCTTAACGCCGCTGTTTTGTTGATCCCCATGGGACGGAACCACCTAGATCCCTGCGGTTTGCACTCTCGCACCCCCGCTCCACCCACTCCCCACTGCGGCGACTGCTTCAAACAGAGCCTCCTTTCGGAACTCTGTCGGCAACGAACGAAGAGCTATTTGCCGATACTCACCCTTTCCATCTCGTTGCCGGCGGAAGCCCTGTTTTGCGATGTTTCATCGATCTTCTTGCCGACCTCGACCCCTCCAACCATGAAGTTTCTTCGGAATAACTTGTCTGCCATTGTCTGATATTGTTCTAGGTCTGTATCGGCGCCCTCGGGCGCATGCAGCGGGTGCCCCGCTTCGATGCTGTCGACACGGACAAGGTCGTGGCCAGCAAGGTGATCCCGGTGTCCTGGTCGGCCGACCATCGCGTCGTGGACGGAGGCACCCTCGCCCGGTTCTCGAACACGTGGAAGGCTTACTTGGAAAACCCCGCTCTAATGCTCGCCGATACTCGTTGATGGGCCACTGATCGGATCAATCCACCGGGCCGCTGCTGAGGAGTTTTTCCTCTGTGCTGCCTGGTTTGAGTCTGGGCTGTTATTTGTCTGAGCTGCTAGCCCGTGGTGCTAGTGGTGGTCGGAGGCACCGGCCTCTGCCGAACTGGTTGGTGATGTACTCATTTCGTTCGCTCGGCTGAGCTTTGGCGCGGGGCGAGAGCATTAGGGAGTCCATCTTGGGGTTCGGTCAGTGTTGTACAAAGTCGCTGCGCTATTTGGGATATTTTTTATCAGGGGGGACGAGAGCCCCATTGGGCTTAGAAGGGTAGTCAAAGGTAGAGGGCAGGACGTGCTTGTCCGCGAGTTATTGCATGCAATGGTTGCGGCTGTGTGATGCTTTGGCATGGCCTTTCGAGAATATGATGTCATGATCTCTCCTCCAATGGTAGCGGTCAAGAGGGGATGTGGAGTGAAGGTCGACAAAATGTGAATTGTGAATGGGGAAGTTCGAAGGACGTGGAGCTCCAATTTGTAGGATGTTGCGACGTGCATGGGAAATCGCACTGGTGACGTTGTTTCGCGCCTTCCTGTCTGTGTTGTGGGCGTGCTATCGTACGCTGCTCTTCTCTGGTAGAATGTAACTACATGATGTAGATATGTATCAATAGTCGGTGGGGGTGTTGTCGCTTGCATCATCGGTGGAGGGAGAGGTCGTCGATGCTGACAGTACCACAGTTGCCGCCTTTGTTTGTTGGGTGCCATTGATGCAGCTCTTACCCAGCAACGCATATTGTTTTTGTGCGTATAAAGGCTCACCGCGAACTAACGCCGGCACGCCTTGCATGTAGAGGCTGCCCCAAAACGTTGGTCGGGGTGCAAACGTCTAAGGTGTTCCGGGTTGGTGTCTCCACATTTTCCCCTTGATCCCGTATTTGGACAGTTGTTTCCATAGCCTCTCGGCGGTCTCCAGGCCTGAATGGCGTAGCATACGTTCACAATACACAAGAAGCAGCAGCGGCCTCACCGAACATGCCTTAGAAGAGACCCGGGATCTCTGTATAAATGCCCCCCCCGCGACCTCCGTTTTTTTTTTTTGGCGGTAACCATAATGGTGGTCGAGTAGATCATGTTGTGCGGGGTCGAGAACTCTCACTCCGCGCAAGGGGGATGATCGCACCACGTTGTGTTAAAATGGTCAAGCACCCTCGAGGCAGTTACACAGTGCTTACAACTGTCTCTGGAAGTGAAAGCACCAGAAAATAAATTAATTCATACGCAGCTGTCATCCGTACGCAAGGAAGTAAGCACAAGATGCCGAACACCCTTAGCAGGATGCAGCGCACCCTTCATGCGACTCGCCGAATATCTCACGGCGCTTCGCGCTTGGTGATGTGAGAGCCTGGTCCGGTGAGAACCCGGCGTGCTCCGTCCCGGCTTTGTAGGGATGCAAGGTGAATGATCTAACGACTACGGCATGCACGACTA